CCGGCAATGGCCGTGTTTATTTCGCGTCCGGCCATTGTTGGCAGACAGTTGGCTGAAGTATCGCCGGTCGACGAACCGTTTCATCGCAGTCGGGCGCAGCCGAGTGTGAGGACGCCGCCGAGACGCGGCGTACATGCGTCTCCGTCTGATGGAGTCCTGCCGGCCGGCGAGAGATATTGCCGTCCACAGCGGGCCCGGCCGTGCCCAAATGATGTGAAAACGACCACGTGTGAGGACGGCCGAGCTGCGGCAGATGAACTGACCACCGGCTCTGACTGAGAGATGGTTGTTACAGAGCCGGGGATTCGTCATCGTATAGCGTTTTGAGTTAGTTGGGCCGGGTCGTGATGGATCTGGAGTGGGTCACTGGCGTGTCAGTGACAACTCTTGGAATTACTGTGTTACAACAGGTGCTTTCGACGGCGAGTGACCCGCTTCGTGAAGGTCAACAGTTTACTGGCTAACTTCTGCTTGCTGCCTGACAACAGCAAATTGAAGTAAGACGTGCTATTCTGCTGACGGGTCATAGTTATACAATGCTCGTTAGACGCTTTATTCCCCGGGAGTTTTGTCCTCTGAAATTATGGTGACGTATGGATTTGAACGCCTTCATATTCCGTTGAAGCTACATCATGTTCAATTTTAAAGAATTAGGCTGCTCAATTTATCTGAAATATTGCAATAGTGGTTTGATAAATGCTGCGTATGGTCTTCTGTCCAAACAGTTTTTTTCAGTATTTCTTTACGTATCTTTGAGCAATATTTTGATCATTTTTGTTGTAGTACCCTGTTGTCACGATGCTTATGAATATAATCCAGTATCGATCTATTTATATTTATCTGCTGTTTAGGCACTGTTAGCCAAGAAACTTAGAACAACTTATCCTTGTCGACAGCCACCATCGTAGCTCAATGCACCCCTAACTCATTCCCGTCTAACTTATTAGCATTCTCGTCAAACTTTCCACACATTTATTTTTGATCACGCCGTATTATTCTATTAAAATATTTGCATAATTGGATAATGCGCTCGCCACATGTCCGGAATCGGTTGGCGGCGGCGGCGGTCGAGGTGCGCCAATATTCGTCGCCGCCGCCCGCAGCCGGCCCGGCGCGTCAGTGACAAGAGATGGCGCACCAACGACGTGCTGTGGCCGCGGCCGAACAGCCTCCGGCCATCCAATTATTTTGTACACAAAAAAGGGTCATGCGAGCCGACATCAATCAGGTGGGCGGCGCCTGGCGGGCGCATAGAGCCGGCATTATTTCAGCGGGCCCGATTGCGGCGGGGATTTGTTCGGCGCCTGTGTCGCCCCGGCCACGTCAAGTCGATAGAGGTTATTATATATCGAGATTGGGCGCGACGGCAGCAGCTGGCGCTCGTCGCTGCCGGCGGCTATCTCAGCCTGCGCCCCCCCCCCCCGCGCCGGGCCCTCCCCGCCCCTCCCCGGCCCGGGCTCAATGTGCTCGGCCACCCGAGATGGTGCCACAGGAGACGGCGATCGGAGGAACGGAGGGATACACGGATAAATTACCAGACTGGGTCACGGAAACCAATCAGAGGGAGGGACGAGCTGTGCTTCTCTCACAGAGTCTGGGCTTGTGCGTTTTCTGACAAATGCTAAAAAGGTGATTGTCAGATGGAAATTTACGCATTTTTAGTTTGCTTTTGGGAGTTCAGCCGGATAACGAGAGCGAAGACAATGCCTTTTCGAGCACTGTGATGCCACAGACCGGCGTTTGGGTTTGAATTAAGTCGTCAAAAACTAACTTCAAAATTGATGCAGTCCTTTGCAGTGCGAATTGGGATCCCTTGGACCGGGGTGCATACTTACAACAAAGTTTGGTGTTGTTTTAGCCGACTATTGTATGCTAAGGTCTGTGTGATGAATCCGTATACTTTTATCTGCAACTTTCATTAACTTTGAAAATTTGCATGTATGAATGTATCAGCTATACCCGTCACTGCACTGTGAATTAGTTCCAGAGCTAAATTTCTGTGCTAAAATCAGTTAAACTGGGTAAAGTAGGCGTGCATTGAAAGTTGTAGGGGAGAGTGGGGAAAGATGCCCAGGGTTTTACTATGTCATATATTATTCGAAAATGACGATCGGAAAGCAAAAACTTGTAGTTTCAACGGAAGCCGACATCATTTTTCTCCAAAAATATCATACCTTCGTGCTTGAAATATGAAAACTTTTTTTGCTATTAAGCATTTTCCTGAAGAAGTGAAAGGGGGCATCTTACCCCACAGGGTGGGAAAGACGCCCCCTGGCGTTGGGTAAGATGCCCCCTGCACTATAAGTGACATAAATGGGCACGTGAATCGCCTGAACGAATCAGTAGTCCCTTCGGGCCTGCAGTATGACACCAAACGTCATCGTAAGGGCCCTCAAAAGTAGTCGTAAGGGGCTTCAGAGGTCATCGTTAGGGCCATCATAGTCTAGCGCGGCCAAACAAGCCTCCGTGGTGGCGTTCGGAGACCACTGTGGGGCCCTTATAGGTCTTCATGATGCTTGAGGGCCCTCGAGCCCATCGTGGGGACCTCAGATGCCAGCGCGGCCCGTGGAGCCAACGTGGGAGCCCTCAAAGGATGTCGTGAGGGGCCCTGGAGCCAATAATGTGGCCCACAGAGGCCGTCGTAAGGGCTCTCAGAGTCAGATGCCGCCCAAAAAGTCGTTGTGTGGGCCGAGAGGCCGGCATGGGGAGCACCCGACCGTACTGGACTCTCAATAGTCCCAAATCGGCTTTTGTCTCTCATCACAGGTATGTAATAAATGATTTGACGGGCTGCTTGAAGGACAGCCTACGGATTTAGGGGGGCGTCTTTCCCCATCAGGACAGGGGGCATCTTACCCCAAGGTACCGAGGTAACATTAAATCAGTACAATTTGTTAGCCATAAAACTACACCCTGAAACAAACTGTTTGGGACACAGTACACGCATGTTAACCCGCGCCCCAGTGGCGGTCTCAGCCAACTTCGCCCTAGTGAGGGGGGGCATATGTTACCACCCACCTCTAACTCAAAAACTAAGAGGGCTAGAAAGACGCGGTAAAAAGCAGTCGATAGCTCTCAATGCGTACGTTTGAAAGTATTTCGGTCATTTTTCACCTTAGAGCAATATTGGAGTCACCAGAGGTCATCAAAGGTCAAAATTTGCCAATTGTCATTATATTTTTCAGAAAACATGCCGCTATCTCAGGAACTATGGTAGCTAGAATAACGCAGGGAAGAGCAATCGATAGCTTTTGAACTCTTCTTTTGAAAAGGTCATTATCAATATTGACCTCAGGTCAACGGTTTGGCCTCCAGAGGGCAAAAAGTCCAAAAATAGCTGTTTTTACGAAAAGTGTTTTTCGACAATAACTTTCGACTACAAAAAGCCACGACATTTCTATTGCCAGAATCGTGTTCCTCTCGCCGAGACGCGTCGAATGAACTATAATTTGACCTTGAAAGGTCAAGTTGAAAATTTGACCTCAGGTCAAGGTCATGACCTTACCGGAAAAGGTCATGTTGCATATCAGTCGATGCGTCTCAACAAGGCAAACACAATGAGACCATCCCCAGCGTTCTATCTCTTTCCAATCGCGAGTTATTGGCAAAAAACTGTTTGTAGCCTCAAGTGACCTCAGATGACCTGTCTAGAGGCTATCAGCAAAAATGACACCTTGGTCATCACGAGTGGACTAAATCATTGTGATTCTGAAATATTTGGACTGTTCCGATGCGTACACACGGATCTAGAGGCATTTTCATTTTTCTCCATTGACTTGTAATGGAAAGGTTTCGCCACTGACCTGACCTTAGGTCACGGATATAAAAAATCCGAGATATACAAATTGTAGGCGCCCATAACAGCATGCAATCCACCAAGTTGGAAACCTTTCTGACAAACACTGCAGGCTGGACATGATTGCAAACTTTTTTTTAGGCTTGGTCAGTTAACTTGACCTGGTGACCTGACCTGACATGACCTGGGGTCAAAAATTTCACACATTGTCCGAAATTGATGTACCAAAAGCTACCCCAAGCGGCGCGGCGCTACGCGCCGCGGTTTTTTATTCACACGCAAAAAACGCGACAGGGTGGTAACATATGCCCCCCCCCCCCCACTGGGGCGAAGGTTAATCTATCACGACTATAGCAAGGGACGCAAAAATTATCTACCTTCTTTGATATTTACAATGTTTTGACACCAAAATATTTTTTGAAAGCAGCAAATAAAAAACATGCCATCACCAGCCAGCCGTTGCCCAACTGAGCCTCGCAAATTTTTGTGCAGTTAACAAGGCAGGCTTCCGCTTTACGCTAAGAACATTAATTTCCAGGTTCGATTCTTTGTTTCGCCGCTAGAGGGGGTGGGGCGTCTTTCCCACCCTGGGCATCTTACCCCACTCTCCCCTACCTTTGTTCCTGCCATTACCTTGTTGGTGTTCTAAGTTTTAAGCAGAACAATTGCTACTGCTCTGGCCATATGACTAGTCAACGACGCTACTATAACCGGAATGTTTAACTGTGGCGACCAGGGCCCGTTACAGCCATGCCACCAGGGTCCCTCCGGTCACCGCAGTACTATGCAAAGGAGCGGTGCAGTGGGGTGGGAGAGGGGGCGGGACGGGCGCCGCGCGCCCACCCCTCGTTTACACAGCCCCTCGCTCCGCTGGGGAGGGGGGGGGGGGACGATACAGGCTCCTGGTCGTCGGTAGGGAGCCCACGCGCCACCGACGGGTGGCGCTGTCACGCCCGTTAACGCTGCGTCGTCTCAGAACGGCGGCGTCTCTCATAAACAACAGCTTCTGAACGGGTAACGCAGCCCATCTTATGGGAAAAACAGCGCGTTAGCTATAGCCCCGCTGCTACTTGTCACTTACATTGAAAAGCTAGCCTGGAGAATGCGAGTTGGATAGTGCGACGTGGTGCTGCCCTGTGGTCATGTGATGCACCACGGATCAGTAGGGCACGGCGTTCAACGCCTGATGTCTGCCTGGCCTCACCTGCAGTTAGAAGACTGAAGAGAGCAGCCAGTGCCGCTAGAAGCGCCACAGGAGTCGATGTGCCGTTCATCTTTCCCAGTCTGTGAAAAAATAACGCGGTCCTGAGCGACAACAGTTGATGAATCTTGTGGCGTGCCACTGTCTCACGGGTCATTACTCCCTTTTGGGTTTGGACGGCAAATCTTTGACCTATCTTTAGAGTTTTTCACCTACCTTGGTGGTGTTTCTTTTTTTTCGGGAATAAGCGATGTGTCTGCAACCCTCTGTGCTTGACACCTTAAACATAAATTCGAATTGAGAAAATAATAATTATTTTTTTAATAGCCTCTTATCCTCTTATTTTAATAGCCTCTTATCATGCGGACACAAAAAGCGTCATCTACGAAATCTGAAAACTATCCCATAACGTCACCCTTCCAATATAGGGGCTCACCCTGTCGCGCGGCCCGCTCAGCCCTCCTGGGCGTCTCAGCCCGGTCCGCGGGCCGCCGCGGTGCCGAGTGCCGATATTATTCCGAGTGTGGCGGCGGCCCGCTATTGTGGCGCAGATTTGCCCCGGCGCACGGCCGATGAGCTATTAGCCGAACCGCCGAGTCAGCGCCGCGCCACAACAATTTAGCCGGCGGGCATAAACCTCCCCGCGAATGCGCTCAATATGACTCCGTGCGGTGCCCGTTGTTGTCACAAGTCTGAGAATATGGCAGGTGATGGAAGAGGGAAGTGGGTGGCTGACTCTAAAACGGTGTATCTCATTGGTAAATTAAAAACCTTACATAGCGCTCCAATCTTGATCCTGCCACTTGCCAGTTGATACTTTTTCCGGAGACTGGAGCAATTGCTTTTTTAAGGTTGGACAAGCGGCTGCCATTTTTTTCTGGGTGACAGTGGCAGTACGAGTATGTATGTGCGCCTAGTTGGGAAACCTGGGCCACCGCCACTTTACTGTCCCGACCATGGGTAAGATACTGTAGTTGAAGGAGACGATTGATGGATATCAAATATCGGCCAAGGTAAGGTTATACGTATGTACAGCCCACCGCTAAAGTAATGTGTGGTTTAACTTATCTCAACGGATGGCTTTGACCGACGATTTTTAAATGCGGACTGATTGAAAAGAAGACGTCAATCGATAAATTTGTAGCTGCAAGGGTGAAGATACATGTAAGCTACAGCCTACATTTTAAGTCTCGTTGCAGTCTGGCTAATCGTTCCTAGGCTTCAGAAGCAGAACATACCCATGACTGAAACCACACATTACTTCTGCTGTGGACTGTACTACGCTTAGGATGACCGAGCCAAGTCTTGTAAAATCAGTGTACACATGCACACTTAACACAGTGCTACAGTGTTTAAAGATACGTCGCTAAATGGCCCAGGCGGAAAGCGATCATATAGATGTAAGGCTGTATGTATAAGTAATGCATCATGGCAACTACCTAGCTTCAACCGACAGCTTTAGAATTCGGACGTGCACCTACTTAGGCCCGTCAAGGGCCACGTTATACGGCTACCATTAGTAGGTGCCTGACGCCATGGTTCATGTCAATTGCCATGTCTTCCGGCAATTCACGATCAGCATCGACAGATAAAGTCTCGGCCCGTAGCTATTTCTTCCGTTTCTGCGGGCGAGTGTAGATCTAGTGCGGGTAACCGAAGGTTTGTTGTCAATAGTTAAAACACTTTTCTTTAGAATTGTGTTTTTCTATTGAAAAACAAATCTGAGTTCCCTGACAATTTGGCAAAAGCTATGACAGTGCGAGATCACTTCCAAAAAGGAATGCATGAAATGCAGACGCGACCATTGTAACAAAGGCCAAAGCAGACCAGACAGACCGTACACCACTATAATTCGCCGAAGCCTTTCCAATAGTTTCTGGAGCGCCCGTGGCTCCCAGTCGTCGGCACCAAGCTCGTTCTGAGAGTTCTGTGAGCTGCCGCCGGCTCGTCTGGCTCTCCGCTGGAGGCATCATCGCCCTCCGTATCAATAAAGCGGCTTATGCAATCAATAGCCGAACCTGAAGGACTAAAATAACGGCCAAATACGGTGGAAAATTGGCTCGTAAACTGTCGGCTCGGCCGGCATTATACGCTGCTGGTCAGTCGTTTGGCGGCGGGATGGACAACACGCGACAGAAGTGGGCCTGGGTGAGGAGGTGGGCCGAGGACGCAGACGGTGGGCAGGGTATACGGTATTGGTGCCAATCGGAATTTCTTTTCTTGGAATTCCAATTTTTGTCCAATTCCAATTTGGAATTTGGACGGAATTCTTAACATTTTTTTGGAAATTAATCGGAACACAAGGCCTTTAAAATTTAAAATTTTAAAACGGAGGCCTTTTAAACGCTTTTAAACACTTTTAAAATTTACGCAAAAAATGCAAAAATCGTTAAAAATTGGAATAGCCCCCGCTTTGGACAAAATTGGAAATTTACTTGGCAATTTCTTGGAATTGGATCGGAATTGGAATTGAAATTTCATGAAATTGGCACCACTAGTATACGGTGACTGGACACGCGGGCTATGTGCCGCACTCGTAGCCACAAAGTGTATCGATATGAGAGATAAGTACCTATGTATTTAGGCCGAATGCAAAGAGTGGGTAATTAGGTAGAGATAACGGGATAGACTGAGGAACGGTTGTTGATATTTTAATTGAACACGACGGTAGTCAAGCGGCTGATGGTAAAATTATAAATAAAAGCCAAAAGAATGTTTCGGAACCAAACCGAAATAAATTCGCAAGTTAAAAAGCATTGATGCAAACATCAGTGTTGGATATGATGCGATGAAGCTCACTTGCAGTATGACAGAGACCGCAGCAAGGTGAAGATTCTCCCGCAGTGGACGCACTGGATGTGCACAGTGCAGTGCACAGTGCTCTGCAACAACTGATTGAGTCGCGATCGGAACAGCACTGAAAGGGTGCTGACCGGGCAGTCGACAGCGTCCCGGCACCGAGGGCGGCGCGATCGAGACGGGCGCACTCAACTGGAAACTGTTCCTCGGGAGCGGCCCGGGCAGCGCCCTCTGATCTGTCAAACTGTCCCTTCCCGAAAAACAGCCGAACGCGCCGACGACATTCCGAGAGACGCGTCGGTCGAGCCGGAAGGACTACTCCCCTCCCCCGCTCCCCGCGCCCGGTCAGCGCCCGGGTCGGAAGCACCGCGCTCCTCCCTCGCGCTCGTGGGGCGGTCAGCAGCGCCTGGTCGAGCTGAACCTCCCGCCGAGCGGCGGTTGCTCCCTGTGTGGGGGTCAGGGCAATTGGTCCGGCGATGGAGTTATGTCCCCGGCGGTCACTGGAGACGCGGCCGAGTTATGCCTGCCCTGGCCCTCCCTCATACCCCGAGTTATGTTTTCCCGGTCACGAACGGACCCAATACCTATCTGCCTGGTATCCGCACAAAGCGTGATGCCGTTCAGGATTTCGGCCAGCCATGGCTGCCGCCTGCATAATGCATGTTCGAACCGGGCTGGCCAAGTTATTGCTGAAGTGTATGATATGTTCCAGAGCGTTGGTGTTCTCTGTTCGCAGAGCTCTCTGTGTCGGCCGGCTAGCGCGCAGCGCCGCTCGCCGAGCCGCGCTGTGTGGGGGCGGACTCGGGGTCCAGCTCTCCACCGGACGGGCATGTCCATCTCGGCGGCAGGAGAATCACGTACCAACCGGCCGCACTCTGAGAGCCTTAAAAATCCTCACTAACACAATTGAAACTTTGCGCTTGTGTATTTTTCCAAGTTGTGATCGGGGACGGACAAAGTTATCCGTTCTTGATTGAAAAGTGGGCAACAGAAAGATGGTAATACGATTGTGAACTTTTCGTTACGGGTCAGGGATTTGCGGACTTAGTCTGTTCGGAGGGAAAACATCCTTTCGGAGATATATGCCCACTTCAAAACCACTGTCTGTCGATGATGCTTGCATTGCGCATTATCTCAAGTAGGTGCCCACCTACCATCAGCAATGAATGCTCACTGAATCTTACTGTCTTCAGCTTACTTAATCCGGTCTTTTTAGCCTACCATTTTTGTGGTTTGTCTTTTACGTTGTGTGATGTAGCGCTTGTTGAGGCTCCCTGGTGGGCCAAAGGATTCGATTCATAGGCTCAAACGATGAGCCATTCATTTTTTTTCTCTCGTTGGTCTGCAACCTGTAAAGTGTTTTACATTGAAATGGTTTTATGAAGCTTTGGATATTCAAGAGTTTTTTTTAATAAATTTAGCTCGAATGTTTGAATGGACGGATTGACAGAGCCCGAGCCCACGCTAAGCAGAGCTTGTTGCGTAGACCCCGACCCCTACCGTCCGATCGCGCAATTCCAGGTAACGGGAGAATTTAGATGCCAAAGTTTAACGTGCCCTTCAAAGCCGGACACGGCCTGTCCCACTCAACTGGCTTCAACTGGCTGCGGCTGCTCCCACCAACCGCAGACCATCCCCGTCAGGAGTCTCAAATATCGAGCGCCGGAGCGTCTCGAACCCGGGCTCTCACTACCGGGAGTCCAATGCTCTACCAACTGAGCTACAGGACAGGCAAGTTACCTACATTGCTTGCATTGAGTCACCCTACATTGCTTTTCATTTCAACATTGATTTGATTACATTATTTTGAGCTGTTGCGGCATTTAATTATCAAGTATCCTCTGATGACACGTTTGTGCGTAGCTGCGTGTGTGATTAACCCATCTGTGTCTCTGTGACCCTCTCCTGGGGGAGACGCGACCGACGGATCGACTTGGACCGATCAGAGATTGCTCTCTGAATGATAAATACCCACCTCTGGCGTGACAATAAAATATTCAACATTCGTGATGTCGAAAATCAATCGGATGGCATGCGGGGTGCTTGTTATGGAGATGGGCGCACACATGAAGCCTAATAGAGCGGCGAGCGCGGCTCCCTGTTCAATTTCGGGCTTTACGAGCGGGCCGGCCGGCCGCAGCGCGCGCCAAGTTCAGGCTATTTACCTGGCCGCGGCGCGGCGGCTCGGCGCGGCCGGCTCTCCCCTTTGTCAGGACATCGATTGGTGGCGCCGGATGAAACTTGTCCGGTGTCTCGTCAATGTTGCAGTGGTCCGGTGTCGGAG